CTGGGGCACAGGAGGTCTGATCAGAAGAGATGGGCCCTGCAGGCCTGCTGCTGCCCGGGTCTGAAATCCCACCTGAGCCTTTCTCCCTCCCTCCCCTCCCAGCTCACTTCCTCCCTGACCACCAGCCTCTTACATTCTGAGCTTTCTGGGGGGCTATGGTGAGCCTGCAGGGAGCAAATTGGGGAGCAGAGCTCAGAATGCATGCACACACACACACTCTCTCTCCCCCCAACACCTGGTGGGGCACTCACCTGGGCAGCACTAATGTCTTTTATTTATTTATTTTTTTTAAAGATGACCGGTAAGGGGATCTTAACCCTTGACTTGGTGTTGTCAGCACCACACTCAGCCAGTGAGCAAACCAGCCATCCCTATATAGGATCCGAACCTGTGGCCTTGGTGTTATCAGCACCGCACTCTCCCGAGTGAGCCATGGGCTGGCCCTAGCACTAATGTCTTTGGCAGAGGGTTTGGGGGCATCAGGACTTGGGAGCTCAGAGTCTAAGTCAAGGCTGGGACTGAAACAGAGAGGGCAGGCTGGGCTTGGCTGAGCACCAGACAGGGAAATCCATGCCGGCCAGGGAGGGGCCGAGGACAGCTGCAGCTCTACTACTTCTCTGTAGCCTGGGCTTTCTGGGAGTCCTTCCAGCCACAAGGAGATGCTGTACTGGCTGCAGTGGCTGGGAAACCCCGCCCAGCCCTGATGCTAAGGGGGTCACCTTCCTTGCAGGCACAGTATGGGTCAACCTAGACCAAAGGTGGAAGTGTGGGTGTCCGTGCAGGGTCGAAAGGCAGATGTGTGTTGGTGGGGATGGTGGGAGGAGACATGGGATGAAGATGGAACCAGGAGAATGTGTCGAGCTGTAGGGGGCTGAGGGCCTCAGGGGCAGGATGGGTCTGGAGAGGAGGGAGGAACTCACCTGGATCAGGCTCACACTCCAGGTAGATGTCCTTGTCAGATTTTTTTGGAGGACTTGGCACCTAAGGTAGGCAGGGGTGTGTGGAATCATGGTTTTGACCAGCCCTGGGCTGGATGGAGGTGCTGGCCGGTTAGCTCAGTTGGTTAGAGAGCGGCGTTATAACACCAAGGTCAAGGGTTGGGATCCCAGTACCAGCCAGACTAAAAAAAAAAAAAAAATTTATTTTTTCCTTAATGAATATATAAGTGGGTTCATTTATTTCCAAGGTGAAGACTTTGAATCACCTTACCGGGAGGAGGAGCCATCAATTGTGTGGGTAGCTCAGGGCACCTTACTTCCTCCTCACAGGGTGGCCCTCTTTCTAGGAGCCAGCCAGCTTGAATGAGTGAAATTTCTCCTCTGCCTGAGAGGGGCCATCCCATGAGCACCTTCCCCTTCAGAAGTGCCCATAGTCCCCAGCTCTCAGAGACCGTGGGTGTCCAGGGGAGCCCTGGGTGGCACCCTCAGGACAGCTGGCTTACACCTGCTGGGACCTGTGGCAGAGGGGGAGGGGCTCTGCTCTGGGCCGTTTCCTTTGGTTTCAGAGATATTTCCTGGCCTTTCCAGGGCCCTCACCCCCTGCCAACTTCCTAACCAGAACTCTAGAATGTGAGGTGGGGATGGAGGGGCTTCTTACCACTCTGGACGGTGCACCCTACTCTGGAAGGAAAAGGAGAGAACTCCCAATCATGAGCAACAGAGAGGAGAAAGGAATTCAGTGAAATGTAGGCTGGAAGAGTGAAGTGTCCTTGGAAATTCTCTGAAGAGGGATCCTCAGAGCCAGCCTTGGGGCCCCAGGAGAAAAGTATCCTCACCCCTAAATCCTTCTCCTTCATGACCCTGTGGAGTTGCCTGGCTTGACCGCCTTACTGATTTCCCGGGCTTGGCTCCAGATGACTTTGAGTTGTTCCAAAAATCAAAGCTACCCTCAAGGTCATGAAGGTTCACCAACCACTGAGCATAGTGAAAGTGAATGTGCCTCAGGTTAGCTGTTTGACCTTGGGCAGGAGGAGGCTATCCCTTCCTGGGGCTTCTTTGGGACAAAAATATGGTGGCTGAGGGCCCTCCCTGTCCTGACATCCCAGGGTTCTGAGGTCACAGGCCCTGAGCACTGACCACAGGGGCAAGTCTGGACAGTGGTAGCGATAATTTCATGAATGGAATCAGACTGGTGGCCCACTGATGGGCAATGGAACTCAGATGTATCTCAATAGTGACCGTGCATACGGCAGAGTAGGCTGCCCTTCAGACCTCTTCATTTTGGGGATGTCCTTCCATGATCCAGAAATCACACCAGATGCAGAACAGGACCTGGCAGTCAGGTCCCACATTTCATGTCTCTGGGCCTCAATCTCATGTGTTTCGGTGGAGGTAATGCCACCCGGACTGCCTACCTTAGGAAACTGGAAGGTGAAAAAGAGGCACAGCCAGGGATGTCACAGCAGTGACCCCTACCCAAGAGGCTGAGGGCTCCCCTTCCTGGGGGTGTTGGGAGCTGTGGAAAGAGAGAGGACATCCCCATTACCTCCCAAAGATAGGTCCCTGCTTCCAGCCTCCTGCAGGCTTGTCGCTGCTGTCAGCTGCGGGCAGAGCGGCAAGCTGGGGGAGGGCAAGGCTGCTGGGGTGGGATGCAACAGGGCTGTGTGTGTATGTGCAGCTTAAAACACCCGCACTACAACACACACAAGGGACGACTCTTGTCTTTGCCTCTACTCTGTGGCTCTTTCCTTTCTTTGTTGTGAATCGCTCCCTGGATTTTTTTTTTTAATTCCAATAAAATATATGATGAAAGTGGCAGCTTTCAAAGTCCATAACCAGAATCCCATAGGAATGGGAGCAGGCAGGGACAGGCCACTGAACAAGGGACTTCCTCGCTTCCCAGGAGGGAGGGCTCCTCAGGCCCCGGGGTCCAGGGGAGGGTTGCCGAGCCTGCTCCCTCGTTCCCAGCTCGGCTGAGAAGGGCGAGGCCCCTACGTGAAGCTTTGGCACAGGGAGGAAAGACCAGGCCAGTGGGGGACTCTGGTTGGGGGAGCGACTGACTGTAACAGGGCTCTGGCTTCTGATTTTTCAGGGGCTTCTTGAATGCAAATGTGGGGGAATCTTGCAAATGAGATGCCTCTAAGATTTACTCACTGGGACTTGGTAGCCTGGGGTGGGGCAGGGGGAACTTGTGGGGAGGCCTCTCAGCACAGCATGCTGAGGTAGGGGTGGTGGTGGCTTGAATGGGCCCGGGGTGGTGGGGGAGGGTGGCCAGAGCGATCTGGAAAAGACCCCATGTGTTGCAAATTGGTGGGTTCCCCCTGTGTACGTTCCCATTTTCCTCTGGCCCCCCACCCCCAGCTTCCATTTCCTCCTCCCTCCCTTGCTCCCCTCCCACTCCTTGGCTTCCTGACAGCCCCGTCTCCATGGCAACTGGAGGCAGCCAGCTTCCCTGCCCCCACCTGGCTGAGCCCAGGAGCTCTGGGGTGGGATGCCAGCAGCAGCCCGGGCTCTCCCGGCACCCCTGTCCTTGCCTAGAAGGTGTCCTGGGATCTCAAAGGGGGGACCCTGTGGGCCTCCTGCTTTCCCACGGTTGCCTTGGTTACACCACCCCTGCAGGTTTCCTCCCCTTCCCTCTCTTCTTCCGTTCTCCCTCCCTTTCTCTCTCTCAGCCCAGCCAAGAGGCCTCAGTGACTGCCCACTGAGGCCTCGCCATGCTGCCCTGCACAGGCAGAAGCAGAAGAGGCAACACCTATGCTCTCTTGCCTGTGCCCAAGCACCCAACCTCCCTGCCTCCCTTTCCAGCCCTCACCCAGGTACAAGGAGGCCTCTTCAGTGCCAGGAGTGTGGGCAGGAGCTAGATTGAGGGACACAGCCTCACAGGGGGGCAGCTCATATTTATCCTCCCCCTCTTCCTCCTCCTGGGCCTTCAGGAAGGGATGCTGAGCACAGGGAGGATGGAGAGTGGAAGATGTCCAGGACAGATGGCGGCTGCTGCCTCCCCTCTCCCGCCCGGCCTCAGCAGCTGGACTTACCCCTTGTCTCCAGGTCTCTGGAGCAGGCGGAGATGGGCTGAGGACATCTCTCCAAGCT